TCTCTCTCTCTCTCTCTCTCTTTCCGTCCTTGTCGTCGTCTGCCTCTCTTTCCGGCAGGAATTGCCCTCCCCCCCTCTTCACCACTCTCGCCAGATCAAACCAGCGAAAGGATGCGGCTGGCGAGGATGCCGCCGCGTGTGGCAGGGCGCTCCTTCCACGCGCAGCACCGCACGCCCATTCTGCCGCAGCTGCCGCCGGAGGACGCGGCACCGCCGTCAACGACGCGCGTGTCAGTTGCGTACCTGCTGCACCGCCACCCGGTAGTGAAGCACACGCCGCACCCGCTCGAGACGGAGATGGGATACCTGCTTGACCGCGAGCACCAGCGCTACTGCCGCCACGAGGCGTCCGAGTCGGCCACGCATTTCATGAGCCAGCGGGGGCTCTCTGTCGACGTGCTGAACCGCACTGACGCCCGCCAGATACAAAGCAACTTCTTCGGTCTTGAACTCTACCAGGACGCGATGCGCGTGGTGCTGCAGCGCTACAAGCCAGAGAAGCGAGTGACGCCGCACGACTTGTGGAACCCCGCGGATCTCGACGGCGCGGCACCACCCACGCGCCACTCGATCCACCGCAAGCTCGACGACTACCTCTACCTCATCGTCCAGGACGCGGCGACGGGCAGGTGGACGGTGCCGCAAACACCTCTGGGCGAGCGGGAGACACTGCGCATGGCGGTGGACAGGGCAGTAGCGAAACACAACAGCGAGGGTTTGGACTGCTACGTGTGGTCCAACGCACCACAGGCAACGGTGCTGAATGCTGCCGACAACAAACGTCTTTTCATCTACGCCGCTACGTACTTGGTGGGGCGGCCAAAATTCTCGGACTTTGAGCCGACGCCAAAAGATCACGCGTGGGTATCACGGCATGAGATGGTGCAGTACCGGCAGGAATTCGAGACTCCCGACCTCCTCGAGGCTCTGCTCGACATCTCCGCCGATGGAACATTTGAAGGTTGAGTGCGCACAAGAGGCAATGCCGTAGCAGTATGAATTCGAAAACCAGATACTATTGCATAATTGTCCTCCAACTTTTTTTTTTCTGTTGGTCCTCCACTGACTTTTATCCTTTTTTCTCTCCTTTTCGTCCCTCACATAAATACGAGCGTGGTTCTCAGCAAGAATCGTTGTGCACAACTCCCTGCTATCGTAAACAGAAAGGAGGCAGTGCGAATGTCCGAGGATCCCCGTCTGCGTCTTGAGCGGTTCATGCGGAAGTACAATCCGGAGAAGCTCAACTCCATTGATGCCATTCTGAAGGCATACAGCGGCAATGAGGGAAAGATGTTTGAGGCGCTTGTCAAGAAGTATGGACCNCCATTCTGAAGGCATACAGCGGCAATGAGGGAAAGATGTTTGAGGCGCTTGTCAAGAAGTATGGACCGGAGCCACCACGGGAGGACGTCCCTGCTACTTGTAGGCAAGAGCTCCAACCTTTCAGCATTGAAAGTGGGGCTATGAAGGGTTTGCTGCGTGTCCCAGCCAATGAGGCTATCGAAGCCATTCTAAGAGTCGCCGAGGTATCATACGAAGACGTGCTGCTGGCGTTGCCTAAGGAACGTCTGCGTGCACTTTTCACCAAGAAGGATAATTTATCACAGCTGGAGAGCATAGAGGTGGCTGCGCCTCCTGCTGCTTGTGACGGCGGTGAAGATCCCCGTCTGCGTCTAGAGCGGTTCATGCGGAAGTACAATCCGGAGAAGCTCAACTCCATTGACGCCATTCTGAAGGCATACAGCGGCAATGAGGGAAAGATGTTTGAGGCGCTTGTCAAGAAGTATGGACCGGAGCCACCAAGGGAGGACGGAGACGCTCCTTCTCTTACTGCTGCTGCTTGTGACGGCGGTGAAGATCCCCGTCTGCGTCTAGAGCGGTTCATGCGGAAGTACAATCCGGAGAAGCTCAACTCCATTGATGCCATTCTGAAGGCATACAGCGGCAATGAGGGAAAGATGTTTGAGGCGCTTGTCAAGAAGTATGGACCNGCCATTCTGAAGGCATACAGCGGCAATGAGGGAAAGATGTTTGAGGCGCTTGTCAAGAAGTATGGACCGGAGCCACCACGGGAGGACGGAGACGCTCCCTCCGGTTATTCTACGGCTGGTGCTGCTGCTGCTGCCACTGTGCGAGAGAAGATTACAACATTGCAGTTCGATGCAGAGGCAGTGAGAGAGAGGCTGACGCGGTTCTTGACGAAGCACGCTCCAGAAAAGTTGGCTGGTGTGGACGCGCTTGTTGAGGCGTGCCAAGAGAGGGGTGTGGAACAGATGATGGAGAGCCTCGTCGCCACGTACGGGCCGGAGCCTGTGGGAGATCGTACTGGCTGCGATGACGGTGAGGAAGTGAAGGGGAATGGGAGGACTGCGGAGGCCAGCATTGGGGAGGAGCGACAGCAACTCGCTGCGTGGCTTCTTGCGATTGGTAAGGATGCTAAGACGGTGTGCCACACCATCATGACAAAGGAACAGTTGCTGCGTCTCACAAAGTCGACGTTCGGCGACTACGAGAACCGACTGCGGCGCCTCTTCGTGCGCCACGCCCCGTCGCGGCTGGCGGAGGTGCAACAGTTGCTGGCGGCGCACGACGGCCTCGAGGACGAGTTGCTCGCGTATTTCTCGCGCGAGTTGGGGCCGGAGCCGGCGAGGACGGCGCCGACGGCGTTGCTGCACCTCGTGAGCCGCC